TTATAAAGATTAGATATTTTCCAGCTGGCTGGGCCAGTTGAAATTCATTCAGGTATACCCAGGTAACGGGCTGAAACAATTTCTTTAATGACCCCTGTCTTTGAAAATTCAGAGGATGATGAGGTGCTATTTGGAAAGGGCAAATGTCAGTGCTACTTTTAAAATAGTATAAAGGGAAAGAAACAGAATTACAGGCCAATCAGTTTAACTTTGATGCCTAAAAAATGGGATAAAAGAACAAATTATTTTCAAGCACACAAAAGCACCGAGATTTGTAAGGCACAAATGGCAAAGTGGCTCTCTCAGGGTGGAAGAGCTGCTAATTCCACTCCTCCAGCTGCAGCCCAGGCAGCAAACACTCCTTGCTCGTTCCAGCAAACAGGCTCGTGCTGAAACGCCTCAGTGTCACTGATCACAGCAGCAGCACCAACAAATCTTTCAGGCTATTGTCTTAAGCCTTAGGGGATCCCAGAGAAACAGCCTCCCACGTAAATGAGGATGCTGAATCCCATGCACATTAAGCATTGCAGAGAATCTTCCAGGGTTAAGATGCATCTCCAGAGCCTCTTTGGAACCAGCACAGGTGTCTGGTGCTCCCAGAAGTGGACATGGGGTGTGGAAGCCCATCACTGCCACTGTCAGACCTCCATTCCCTGCTCAACAATTTCAACGCTCACAGAAAATATTTCAACCAGAGGTCCTACCTGAAATACACGATTCCATTTGGAATTTCACATTCTACATTTCATGCTAGCACTCTTTAGCAAAAATACTTTTATATACACATTTCTGGACTCACATCTCTTAAAAAAAACCCCTCCAAACCACCCACACAATTGATTATTCTAGGAATAGTGCACTTAACTTACTAGGTGTCTCCCAGCAGGATGGTAAAAAACATGGCATAATAAGGTTGTGGACAAGAAATGTATTCCATAGAGTCCTTTAGTGAATTTTTTATAGCAATGCCATAAAGATTTCCTGCTTATTTCAGAAAAGTGCAGTACAAAAAAAATATGTAGTTTTAAATACACATTAAAAAAATCAAATTACTAGGCGAGAGAAATCACACCTCAGATTAAATAAAAGATCTGAAAGTCATTCTGCCCCCTGGCCCATTTCATTCTGATGGAGATGCCCCTGCTTCTAGACAACTTCCTGAGCCATGCCCACCACGCCATTTTCCAGTGTATGCACAGAGTGTTTGTTTCCATTTTGCTGTATTCACAAACGACACGTAGAACTGTAAGAGCTTCCTGGCACCCTGATGCTTTGTAGGGTGGTCACTATAGGAAGAAAACAATTAAAGAATATTTTTTGGGCTCCTGTCTCCCCGAGAACTAAATTTACTGCAGACAAACCATTTTCTCAGCCTACTCAGACCGCAGTGCAGGAAAGGCTAGTGCTGATGGAAGTGGGTACAAAAATTCTGCCTCCGGGCCCACATGTGCCACTTCAACTGATTTCAG